TGCGTACAAGCATGCCCAGCTAATTTTTGTATTTTTAGTAGAGACGGGGTTTCTCCAGGTTGGCCAGGCTGGTCTCGAACTCCTGACCTCAGGTGATCCTCCCACCTTGGCCTCCCAAAGTGTTGGGATTACAGGCTTGAGCCGCCGCGCCCGGCCCTAGGGACTACATTTTGACAAGCAGCAAGAATTTAGAGCACAGCGATTGGTAGACACTCAACAAATTGAGTGAATGATTCAATTCATCCATGTTGAGTGAATGATTAAATGAGATATTAGCTAGGAAACACACACAAACTGTAAGTACATGCAAGTGCTGTGCAAGCATATGCAATCATCATTATAAGGCAGAAAGGCCGAATAATCTGCCTGGAAAAGGCCAGCCTGGAAGAGTGACTCCACAGAGGAGTGGCTAGAAACCTGCTCCCATACCAGGCTGCCTGGGTCCACAACCCACCACTCAGCTGGGAGAGCCTGGGCAAGCAACTCACCCTTTCTGTATCTCAGTTTCTTCATCTGCAAATAATGACTTCACTGATTTATTATTTATTTATTTATTTATTTATTGAGGCAGAGTCTCGGTCTGTTGCCCAGGCCGGAGTATAGTGGTGCGATCTCGGCTCACTGCAACCTCCGCCTCCCAGGTCCACGTGATTCTCCTGCCTCTGCCTCCCAAGTAGCAGGGATTACAGGCACCTGCTACCACATGCTGCTCAGTTTTGTATTTTTAGTAGAGATGGGGTTTCATCATGTTGGCCAGACTGGTCTCGAACTCCTGATCTCAGGTGATATGCCCCCTCCTCAGGCACCCAAAGTGCTGGGATTACAGACCTGAGCCACCACACCTGGCCCCTGTGGGATTTCTTGAAATGATTCACCTCCATCACTGCACTGGGTCTGGTCACTGCACTGGGTCTCCAGCACTGGATCTGGTGTATAGCAATCACTAAATGTTTTAGTAATTATTCTTTGTATTATTATTATTAGTAGTAGTAGTAGTATTTGTCTGCCTCCTGGAGTGGGGCAACCTCCAAGCCCACAGAAGTGCGCCTCAGCTCCGAAAGGATCGGCGCCCAGCTTTCTAAGAGGCGTGGAACCCATTGCTCCCCCTGCCTTTGTGTCCTTGTTTTTTTCCAACAGAGCTAGAGTTGTAATGCACATGAAAATAGATTAAAATACAGGCGCGCCAAAGAATGCAAGGAAGGGAGTGAAAGAGAAAAAACACTAGGATCCCGTAAGGGACTGAACTGCTGCTGAGAGTTTGGGGATTCTGAAGCACACCGGGAGGGTCCATATGGCTCTAGGAGTCATGGGAGCAGGGGCTGAGCGAGATTCTGGAGGTTCTTCCAGTTGCCCCTCTTTTGGGGTATGTGGCTGTGGACAGTAAGCCCTATTCCCCGATGTCTCTAGGTCTTTCTTTCATTACGTGTAAGTTGGGAGAATTTGGAACCAAGGATTCTCCTCAACTTCTAGAAAGACACTGAAGGACTTCCTCTTGGACTGCCTTCTAATCCCAGACTGGGCAGGGCTTCCTGGCTTGTAGATTTCCACTGTTTAGGAGACGCAAGAGTGGGGTATAAAAGCCCGGATTCCGGAGTGAAATAGATGTTGTTTGAACCCTGATTAGCACGTACTAGCTCTGTGACCTTCAACAAGCGACTTAAAATCCGTGGGCCATATCTTTTTTGTGTGCAAAACGTGAGTGGGGGGATATGGAAGTGTTTCCTGCGGCTGTCGAAAGCTGCTAGCAGCGTTTGACATGCAGTCGTGTTCAATAAGCAGCAGGTGATTTTTGCTGGCAGCATTTCGGGGCTGCTTACGGATTGACGGCTGGAAAACTCAGGCTGCAGTGGAAGCTGAAAGGGAGAACACGTGCGCCCCCACATGGTAGGCGCATTAACTGCAAGGGCGTACCCTAGGTCGGTCCCATGGCCTTCCATTGCGGGTGGGTGGTCAATGAATACACCAGCTCTGTGGATTGGGGCAAGTTCCCTTGACTGAGACACAAAAGGGTTTGAACCAGATGGTCTCGAGACTCGACGTGATTTGTAAATGAGTCAGGCACGGTATCTCAATCTGGGCTTCCTTCCCTTGGCAGAGTTCAGTTTTCTTTGTTCCATTCAGTCTCTCAGGCCAGCTGTTGGAAACTTAGGGGTGCTAACTGCCCAATCACTAGCAGTTTGTCTTCTGGAAGAAGTTTAGTTTCCAAGGCTACTTTGAGGAACAATGCTCTTTGGATGTATAATTCTGGAACCTTTTTTTTTTGAGACAGAGTCTCACTCTGTTGCCAGGCTGGAGTGCAGTGGTGCAGCCTCTGCTCACTGCAACCTCTGCCTCCTGGGTTCAAGCAATTCTCCTGCCTCAGCCTCCCAAGTAGCTGGGATTACAGGCACGCGCCACCAGGCCCAAGCTGATTTTTGTATTTTTAGTAAAGATGGGGTTTCACCATGTTAGCCAGGCTGGTGTTGAACTCCTGACCTCGTGATCTGCCTGCCTCGGCCTCCCAAAGTGCTAGGATTACAGGCATGAGCCACCGCACCCAGCCTCTTGGAACCATTTTTTTAAAAACCTTATTAATTGGGACACAATGACGACACTGCTTTCCATTTGAGACTCAAGACATCAATGTTTGTTTGTTTATTTATTTATTTATTTATTTATTTATTGTTTTTGAGACAGAGTCTCGCACTATTGCCCAGGTTGGAGTGCAATGGTGTGATCTTGGCTCACTGCAACCTCTGCCTCCTGGGTTCAAACAATTCCCCTGCCTCGGCCTCCCAAGGAGCTGGGATTACAGGCGCCCGCCACCACGCCCAGCTAATTTTTTATATTTTTAGTAGAGATGGGGTTCCACCATGTTGGCCATGACTGGTCTCAAACTCCTGACCTCAGGTGATCCACCCGCCTCAGCCTCCCAAAGTGCTGGGATTACAGGTGTGAGCCACCGCACTCGGCCAAGACATCAATCTTGAGTCTCCAGAAAGAGCAGTTTCAAATCTTGGGGCCCTGAGCTGTCATCTGTACCAATGAGAGTGTGTGGGGCCCAGAGAGAGAGGTGAGTCATTTTCCTACAATTTGTGATTCCATAGCTGCTGGTCCAGTCTTGGACACCTGAAGCTGCCCAGGCCAAACCATTTTGCAGATGAGGATGCTGAGGTCAGAGCAGTCGGGTGAATGGCCCAACAGCACGCAGCCAGCCCATGACCAAACTTGAGCCAGAAGGCAGGTCTCAGAATTCTCCGTTGTGGGCACTTCCAGTCCCCTCCTTTTTTTTGAGGAGGCAGAAGCGCAGGTGTCTATTGATACAGGGTCCTTCCAGGTGTGTGTGTGTGGCAGTGGCCCCTTCTGGAGGCCCCAGGACCCAGAGGAACCCACAAGCCATTGAAAACCATCAGAAAGCATCTAAGTAACCACCCATTTATTATCTGTCACAAGGCCACAAAGGAAACTAAATGGAATGTCTTTGCCTTCGGCGGGAACACAGCTTGGTGTACTGACTCTCTGGTACTTGTTAGCAGAGATGAACAGTTAGGGTTTTTGTTTGTTTGTTTGTTTGTTTATTTTGAGATGGAGTTTCTTTCTGTCAGCCAGGCTGGAATGCAGTGGTGGGATCTCGGCTCACTGCAACCTCCATCTCCCAAGTTCAAAGGATTCTCCGGCCTCAGCCTCCCAAGTAGCTGGGATTACAGGCGCCTGCCACCATCCCCAGCTAATTTTTGTATTTTTGGTAGAGATGAGGTCTCATCACACTGGCCAGGCTGGTCTCAAACTCCTGATCTCAAATGATCCCCCTGCCTCGGCCTCCTAAAGTGCTGGGATTACAGGCGTGAGCCACTGCGCCTGGCTTGTTCATTTTTAAATTGAGGTATAATTTTCATGCAGTTGTTTTTGATCTATGAAAAATGAGGAAAACCCCAAATGATTAGTTAAAACTACTTCAAAACATGAGACCTGTGCAGGGTGTGGTGGCTCACACCTCTAATCCCAGCACTTTGGGAGGCCGAGGTGGGCAGACCACTTAAGGCCAGGAATTTGAGGCCAGCCTGGGCAACATAGTGAAACCCTGTCTCTACTAAAAATACAAAAACATTAGCCAAATGTGGTGGTGGCACACATCTGTAGTCCCAGCTGCTCAGGAGGCTGAGGTGGGAGGATCACTTGAGCCTGGGAGGTGGAGGCTGCGCTGAGCTGTGATTGCACCACTGCACTCCAGCCTGGAGGACAGAGCAAGACTCTCAAAAATAAAAACAAAACCAAAAATGGGGCCCATGGCAGGGGTGAGAGTGGGTAAAGGGGACTCTGCTGGTGGGAAGATTGGAAGCCACTCTGAGGAACCCCAAGGAAGGGTATACAATGGATGACTGTGGAGGATATCCCAGAGGATTCCACCCCAGAGTCTTCAGCAGGGCCCGGGCCCCTCAGAGGCTATAGCGGAAAAGCATGTTAGGGGCACTCTGGACCCATTGATTTGCTCAGCAGAGCCCTGGCCTCGTTAGGGTTCCGTTTTTGACCCCCCCCCCCCCCCCCCCCCCCCCCCCCCCCCCCCCCCCCCCCCCCCGTTGTTTGTTTTCAGTGTTTACTGACCACATCTATCCTCCATCCCGGCTTAACCATTTTAGATCATCAAGAACCCTAGAAGTAATGGATATTTTCCATTTTTATTAAGTTCTCAAGGAAAAGGACAGAGGAGGAACAATAAATCTCAGTTTTTATTATTATTATTATTATTTATTTTTTGAGATGGAGTTTCAGTCTTATTGCCCAGGCTGGAGTGCAATGGCGCAATCTCGGGTCACTGCAACCTCTGCCTCCTGGGTTCAGGAAATTCTTTGGCCTCAGCCCTCCAAGTAGCTGGGATTACAGGCGCCCACCACTGCACCTGGCTAATTTTTTGTTTTCTTAGTAGAGATGGGCTTTCGCCATGTTAGCCAGGCAGGTACCAAACTCCTGACCTCAGGTGATCCACCCGCCTCCGCCTCCAAAAGTGCCACCACGCCCAGCCATTGTTTTTTTTTTTTTAACATCTCTAATTACGACTCACTTTCAGCAAATTCATCTTGAAGAGGGAGCACAAGAGACTATGGTATCTTTCTTGTACAAACATTATGCTAATATTGTTCACTAGTATTGTCCATAGTATTGAGCTGCTTCTGAATTAACTCCATATGTCAGTCATTCACTGATTAGGAAGCTGTGACTGGTTCAGTTGACTTGAAAAGTGATTAGAACTGGTGCATCCTGTTGCAAACTGCTTATAGATCCAGTGGGGTGTGTGTGTGTGTGTGTATGTGTGTCTGTGTGTGTTTCTGTGTCAGAGGGAGGGAGAGGGAAAGAAGTTTATCAGGCAGAGAACAGCAGCCACAGCTATAGGATGGAAGACAGTCATCCCAGAGGGAATGGAGTGAGTGTGAGTGTATGAGAAGTGCCTCATTTATCACTCATCTTGGGATGGGAGAAGCCCCCTTTTTGTGTTCATGTGAAAACCCCCGAGCTGGAGCTTGCGGTCATGAGCACCAGTGTCTCACAGGCTTTTTTGGTTCTTGTATTCTGGTTAACTTGGAGCACATCTGTGCCATCAGTGCTTTCTGCAAAACTAACCCCCGCCACCCCCGGGTTTTAGCCAGAGGAGTGAGCTGGCAGTGCATAGACCAGAAAAAAGAATGGACTTTGAAAAATGAGGTCTGTTTTACTATCATCTTCACTTTGATGATTTTATTCTTGTTCTCAGCCTTTTTGCAAATGCCACTGCCACTGCTATCTGGAGGAGCAATATGAAAGTCACACTGGAGTCAGAGCTTATAGAGCAGCACCATGTCCCTGGAGGATAAGGGAAAGGGCCTCAGTGACTGAAATGAGAGCAACAGTGTAAAGTGGCAGACGGACCACAGAAGGAGGTTCCTGGAGATGCCGCTTCTCAAGCTAAGCCTCGCAGGGATGACGCATACTTGTGTTGTTACAGGGAGATGGAACATTTGTGCTCCAGCTTCAAGCAAGCAAGGCAAGGATGCAGTCTGAAGAATAGGTGCCAATGTCACAAAATGATAAAACAATTAAACCAAAACCAGAACACCCAGTCCCACTCCGAAAGAAAGAGCTTTCCGAATGGCTGTGTCCCATGCACTCAGTCCACGAGTGAGAGCTGGGGGCTCTGCAGTGGGTGGCTTGTCCTAATACTCCCCACCCCTGGCTCCATTTGGTACATATTCAGAGACTGTAAACTTATTATTTTGAGACGAAGTTTCGCTCTTGTTGCCCAGGCTGGAGTGCAATGGTGAGATCTCAGTTCACTGCACCCTCTGCCTCCTGGGTTCAAGCGATTCTCCTCCCTCAGCTTCCTGAGTAGCTGGATTACAGGCATGCACCACCATGCCTGGCTAATTTTGTATTTTTAGTAGAGACGGGGTTTCTCCATGTTGGTCAGGCTGGTCTCAAACCCCCAACCTCAGGTGATCCACCCACCCCAGCCTCCTAAAGTGCTGGGATTACAGGCATGAGCCACTGCACCCGGCCTAAACTTATTTTCATTACTGTTAAGCCAAACACAATCACAGCATAATCACAGCTAAAATTAACTTTGTTACTGCTCACCTATCTTAGAGGCATTTAAAAGTCTAATTTTAAAGATAAATGCGCTCCTTAATTGTTAAAAGACTTGATGTGGGTTTCAAAAGGTTTTGTTTGTTGTTTGAGACAGAGTCTTGCTCTGTCTTAAGTGTAAGTGGCATGAGCTCAGCTCACTGCAGTCTTGACCTCCTGGGCTCAAGTGATCCTCCCACAACCTTCTGAGTAGCTGGGATCACAGGGGCATGCCACCATACCTGGCTAATTTTCTAATTTTTTGTAGAGATGGGGTCCCCCTACATTGCCCAGGTTTGTCTCAACTTCTCAGACTCAAGCAATCCTCCTGCCTTGGCCTCCCAAAATGCTGGGATTACAGGGGTGAGCCACCGCGCCCGGCCCCACTCCACATACTTTTAAGATGAAGTGGTTAAGCACCCCTGTGGCCTAAGGAGGTGAAGACAAATGGATAAAGGAGAGGAAGTGCCGCCTTCTCTCTCATTCTTGTGAGGCATCATTTGCCCCTTAGCCTGTTCGGATCAAACCATAAAATGGCAAGAGCTCCTTGTCCTAGAGGGACCCAGTTTTAAGTCGGAAGTGGCTAGAGAGAACATTTTCTTCCAGGTAGGCGGAGTCTCATGCTCCAGACCCTGTTGTCTGGAGGGCTCTAAAAATGCCCTCAGATGGTTGGGAGTGGTGACCCATGCCTCTAATCCCAGGATTTTGGGAGGCCGAGGCGGGAGAATTGCTTGAGCCCAGGAGTTTAAGACCAGCCTCGGCAACAAAGCAAGATCCCATCTCTACAAAATAAAAATTAGCTGGGCATGGTGGTGTGCATCTGTGGTCCCAGCTACTGAAGAGACAGGCAGGTGGATCGTTCGAGCCAAGTAGGTCCATGATGGCACACAGCACTCCAGCCTGAGCAACAGAGCAAGGCCCTGTCTCAATAAATCAATAAATACATTGAGCGACTTTTGTTGGACCACAAGGAACTTTGTTTATGGATAGGTACAACTGTCTCCTAGGAAATTAAAGCCCAGCGGTGACACCCATCTAATGTCTGACATTAGCAGGGCTGGGATGAGTGTTCTTTTCAGGATCCACTGCTGCCAAAAGAGGGAGCCTTAGCCAATGGCCAAAAAGAAAGGAAGCAGCCGTGAGTGGGTCAGTGGATCCATGGCCTCAAGATTCCCTGGAGAGAACAGCAGTGCTGAACCTCCCAGTGAAGACCACTGAGGGAAGAGGAGGGAAAGAGGAATACAGATAAATTTATTAGTTAAATACTGATTTTACAGCCATTTCACCTTAAGACAATGTTAACAGGTTTGTGGGTTAGGGAGGGTATACGAGGGGGCCTTTGGAAGAAAACAGTGTAAATGATGATTAAAACAGAATCTTGGTTCGAAGGTATTCTCTGCTATAGCCAGTAGGATTTTGGAGTGAGGGGGCTGGGCGTGTGGGGAGGCGTAGTAATGCCACAGTCAGCTACAGCTCTGCTGAGAAAGAGGAAGGAGTCTCCATGAGCTCCAGCGTCAGGGGCGGAAACTGAGCAATGTGCAGAGGAGAAGGCAGCGGATCCTGGAGCAGCTCAGAGTCGGAGGCTCCCTCCAGGCCCCCTGCCATGTCTTAGCAGTCATTTTCTTTCCGTGACTTGTGTCGTGTTGTGTTTGTTTGCTTTGAATTCGCGTTGCAGAATCTCTGGCTTTTCGCCTCCTGGACAAAAGACTTCTGCCGAGGCGAGGCTGCAGGTCCGGAGGGACTCCGGCTGCCATCGGACCAAGGGCCAGGAGGAGCAGACAGCAGGTGGGTCAGCCTTTGGGACACTCCTGCCCCCCCAAGCAGGACTCTGTCCACTTACACTCTCCCCGGAAGGATCTCGAGGCCTGGCTGAGTGTTTGCCAGACCGGCTTGAGCAGCAGAATGTTTTGTTCTTACTCAGAACCCCTCTGTGTGTGACAGGGTGAATGAAGGGCCTGCAGGGAACTCGAGGGGGGCCGTTTGGCTAAGCTCCCCAGCTCTGGTTTTGCCAGGGGAGGGACATGTACAAGCTGCAGGCAGAGCTGAATCACTCAGAGCAGGAAGAGGGACTTTTATTTTGAGAGACGTTGGAAGTGAAGGAGCAAAGGCCTGCAGCAGGGGAAGGTGCCTGGGGGAGAAGTTGCCAGCTGCAGTGGATGAGGCTGCGCTCTGTGGCGGGTGCAGTGCTCCTCTAGCTCCCCAGGGAAGTGTTCGGTCACTTCTGTCACATCCCACAGTTGTGGAGTCAGATTTGGTATTGGGGATGCAGGGCGGTGCCGTTTCTCAAGCGGATGGATGGGGCAGGGGCCTCTCCCCAGGGGACCGTCCATCCAGGAACATGGCAAACAGATGCCGTCATTCGGGCTGGAGCAGGGGTCCCAGGGCCCAGCCCTCCGCTTGTTCTCAGATCCCCGGTGCTGGAAACACAATGCGAAACCCACCATCTAGGCCACAGCGGTGAACACAGGGGACAAGGACATCTTGGGAAAGAACTCTCCAACTCACAGGGAGAGGCAGCGTGCTCGCGCTGCAGGCTGGGCTCCCTCCAGTCCCACCACTGTATACAGGCATCCGAGAAAATCCAACACCCGCTTCCCCTGACCAGATCGTCAACTTCAAGTTTCTTCCCAGTTGTTGTTCTGGAGTCATTCCCAGGCAGAGGAGGCCGGCCCCTGGGAGCCCAGGGCCTCCTTCTTCCCAGTCCTCCACGTCCCAGGTCTGTGCAGGAATTTGAGGAGGGAAGAGGGAAGATTACGCAGTGATTATGTCCCCGTGACTGTCAGCCAAGACCAGGCTGTTCCAAGAGTCCTGCTTGGAGCTGGTCTGTGGAGACTGGCTGACGGGAGACACATAGCCTTGTGGGGAGAGCTTCAGGGCCGAGAGGACCGGGTGGAGGGAGGGCCCGTGGCCAGACATCGCGCTGACCGAGAACGTCTGAAAAGCAGAAAGCACACGATGAGGCCCATGGAGACACTCCTGAGGTAGGGGAGGGTGCCCTACTATGCAGATGTCGCCAGGATGGCTCCCGCCCTCAGGAAGGGACCAAGGAGCACGTCTCTCTGTTTCTCCTGATCCTGGTGATCTGGGCACAAAGGGTCTGGGTGATGCATCAGCTGCTTCTGAGCACAGTATACAACCAGGGCGAGAACCCGGTGGGCCTGTGGATGCTGTGGTTGCCCAGAAGGCTCTGATGGTTACAGGAGACACTTTCTATCATCCTATCACTACCACATCCACTTTCCAACAGAGAAGTGGATGGTCCACCCGGCCCAGAAGGGGCTCCTGCTGCCCCTGGTTCTGTGGGATCAGGTTCTCCCAGGCAATAAGAAGCTCATTAAGACACAGCCTCTCTCAGTTAAGAGCAGAGGCAAGATTAACAGCAGGGGCTGGTCAGAGGAGACTGTGGTCAAGCTTGGTGCGTCCTGGTCCCAAGAGAGGGAACTGCAGAGGGGACGACGCAGGGAAGCTGAGATGCCATCATCCTCCACAAGAGGGAACTTGGGTTGCCCCGGGTGTCCCCTGACACACGTGCAGAGCTGGGCCTCATGAAAGTGGCATCCTGCCTGTGACCTCCCACCAGCCTGCCCCCCCTGCCCTCTGCAGGATGCAGGCCTTTCCCCATGCCAGCTTCCTCCTCCTTCCCCACCCTCTCCTGTTGAAGTCTCACCTCTCTGCACATAGGAGACATTGCCTAGAGAAGCCCTGCTCTGCCTCCCACAGCGGGAGCACGCCTCCCCTCGCCCCAGCAGGCAGTCTCATTCAGGCTGTCCTTGTGTGTTGTTTTCCTCCCCTGCCACCCATGCTGTATGCCAGCCCCGGACTCCCCTCTCTTTGTTTCCAAAGATAGTGGCATAGAGGAGCTGTTAAAAAATTGTGAGTCATAATCGTGTCCACACCACCATAGCTTGACAAGATGTCCTGAAATACAGCCGGATGCAGATGCCCCTAGCCTCGAGGGGCCCTGAGGGCACCACGCAGCTCAAAGGCTGGAGCTTCCTAGCCCACAGGGTAGCTCACTGCTTGCACCTGTGAGGCCTGGCTGCAAGTCCCACCCAAGACTAGGCTGGCCCCTGGGACTCTGCAATCGGCCTCCCCACAAACAGCCCTGGCGCCCCACCCGTGACGTGTACCTGGGACACGGAGCTGCTGTGCCCGTAGTGAGATGACAGGCCGGGCTCTGTCTTGATGGGGCGCATCTCCTCGCTGCTGCTGGTGGTGGCGCTGCTGGAGTTGCTGGAAGCACCGCTGGCGGGAGGAAGGCTCTCACTGCCTGCAGGACCTGGAATGAAGCAGAGTCGGCACACCCAAATCAGCGGCAGGGACAAATGAACAGCCGGCAGCCTGTGAGACAGCGGGGATGGGTCTGAGCTAATGGCTTTCTCTACATTTGTCAGGGAGAGCAGCAGGGGTCCTTACAGTGGACAGTTACAGTTCTCACAGGGATGGCTTCTTCCCCCTAGCTCATCGCAAACCCTTGAGGCCACATGGGTTTCAGGATTCAAAACTTTTAAAAACAATTCTTCCTCATTCAACTTGAAGATTCAAATTTTTAAAAGTCCAAATACTGTGTATTATAGAATACCTCCCGCAGGGCCTGAGATAATACCCTATAATTAAATACATTAATATCCCCACAGCAAAACATGTGAGTATCATACTGAATGGGGTAAACAGAGACCATCAACAGCCTTGTGTCTGTTCAAAATAGGTTTTGCTGCCAAATCTAGCTTCCCGGATTTGGAATTTTGGACCGGGGATGGTGCACTGGAGCCGAATGTCTTCTCTACCTGTGATTGCTACGTGAGAGGAAATAAGGTTACCCAGGGCACGTAGGGT